CCTTCTACATTTCTAATCGGTTGTTAGGGTGCAAGGTCTCGCGTACACTGAAAAGCGAGATCACTTGACTTGTAAAATTACCAAATGACCGCTATTTGAAATGCTAGCCGGTCACGATGACCAGCTGTAACAAGCACCAGCGGAAACATTGTACCCTACCCCATACCACGCAGAAGATGAGGACAGTGATACCTCTAAAAGATGCTAACCCCAACAGACACCTAAGGTCTACTACATCTCTTCAGACACTTTGTGCTCTGTCTGAATACTACTCGTGAAGATCCAGGTTAGAATTGATCTTTGAATTTGAATATTTTTTCAGTGCAAATTAGTTTTGGAGGTATTGTAGCAGTGAATTCTAAAATACAATGCAATAATATGTAGTGTTGGGAATTGGTTGAAATCTCACAATTGATGATTGGTTCAATACCAACGACCAATCATCGAAAAAAAATTGGTTAGCATCATTTTTTAGATTTTCCTATTCAGGTTGTAGTTGCAGATAAGTATAAAGAAAAAACACTTGGTTCTCTGTTGTTGTTTTTAGAAACTGCACAAATTACATTTGCAGATTTCACATCCAGTGTAAAATGATTCAGTTCCAGTGTAACATAAACTTCCCAGATTCTTCAAGAAATATTCAGTCATGACTTTTCAGAAAGTGAAGTGAGTTTTCTTAGAAATAAACACGTTTTCGGGCCCTGACAACGTCCTAGATATGTTCCATCATCAAGTATTTCAAACTCTATTACAGCGGTTCCAAAATTGTTTGTGTTCGATTATGAGAAAATGTGATCAATTGCTTTGTCGTTTGGCCACTGCGACTAATCTTCGATTATTTCAATTAATCGGACCACCAATAATAATATGAAACAAACTATGAATCCCTCTGTATTCATCAGGTTCTCCGTGAGATGCAAGTTACCTTCTCAAAAGCAACAACATGACAATAGTGCGAAATTGGGATATTTCTTGCATTGTTGGGGCCAAATATCTGCGTGTGTGCAGGTCTAGATACATCATGGTTCTGTTAAATTATCAGATATAACATGTGTATTTTCATAAACAAAAGGGGCAGTGGGGTAGCCTAGTGGTTAAAGCGTTGGCTCGTCATGCCGAAGACCCGGGTTCGAATCCCCACATGGGTACATTGTGTGAAGCCCATTTCTGGTGTCCCCCGTCGTGATGTTGCTGGAATATTGCTAAAAGCGGTGTAAAACCAAACTCAGTCAGTCAGTCAGTCATAAACAAAATATTTTTGATAACTGATTCATGAAATTTGTGTTAGTTTGTCGCACAGTCCCTGAACCACATCATTTTTACTGCCTAGCCCTCCCTGCAATACTTAAACCCAAAACGAAGCAAGTGAAGATTTTCACACTGGTTCTGAATCTCCGATCTCACTGGGGATCCTTTTCAACTTAAATGTGTTTATAAGTTACTAAATTTAAGTTAAGAATTTACTACACTCTCAAAAAAAAGAACAATTCCTAATAATTTTCAAGAACAGAAGTCCTGAATTAATTTCCAAAATATGTCACCATCTTTACAACTTTAAATGAATTCTATATCTTACCATAGTCTCCTCATATATTATTTCCATGTCATTTTACCACATGATTTCGAAAAATTGTTATAATGTACATCATATGTGTGAAATGTATCTATATTTCTTGTACCTACTGTGTAAATATTTGTAGCTTATAGAATATTGCCACTGTTTCTTCATGGAATGCTATGCAATAAATATCTTATCTTATCTTATCAAAATTATATACATTCGGAGACTAAGTGTTAGTCTTCTTCAACCCCAACCTATGTTGAATGACGCTACCCGGTGAAGATCCTGGTTAGAATATTGATATTCGGTAACCCATGCTTGTCATAAGAGGCGACTAACGGGGTCAGGTGGTCAAGCTCGCTGACTTGGTTGACACATGTCATCATATCCTAATTGTCATCATATCCTCATGTTGTTGATCACTGGATTGTCTGGTCCAGACTCGATTATTTACAGACTGCCACCATATAGCTGGAATATTACTGAGTGTGGCGTAAAACTCACTCACTCACTTGTATGGTGCTGTTCTTAAAAACTGTCAGCGTTGTCCATAAATAACAGCTTCATCACAAGTATAACATCCACTTATAGATACTGGAAACAAAGCCAAATAATTATCAGTGCATAACACTGACCCACTCCAAACATCAGCCATCTACAGTGGTATTGGCTACCTACACACAGCCTGTGCCAGTTTAATGTACCTCTGATCAGCTCTTTATTCTGGAAAGGATATGTCTTCAGGTCAGAAGGTCATGACCTTTCACCTTCTAGGTTGGTCAAGTAAATATACTGCTTGCCTGCTCTGGTCAGATTGATGTGACCAGCCATGATAGTGTTTACCAGACAACTGTAGACTGACATCTTAGTCTCTGAATGTATATAATGTTGATAGAAACCAACAATTTGTTGTCCAAGATATTTTTATGGATTAAACTTTTTTAATTTCTCTCAAATCAATCAATCAATCAAATATAATTATTGTGCAAACGTTCTATACAGAAACAGTGACAATATTCTATAAACTACATAAACAAGATATATAATGAATCACATATATATGATGAGCAACAAAACATATAATAATACAGATGTGTATAATAATAATAATGGCCTAGCACAATCAGATCTTCTATATTTGTTTATAGTTGTACATGTGGTAGCAAATAATTTCTATAGTATTTGGATCATTATTTCTAAAAAGAAGGTTAAATTTTTCAGTGGTAGTAAGTCTGAGAAAGTTATTAATTTTAGAGAAAAGGGAGTTAACCCCCTGGCTGCCGAGTTTTTTTTCAGGCGCACATTTTCATACGCTTTGAAAAGTGAACGTTGTGCGAGAATTGCTCTGGCGTGGTCTTGGATCTACGTAAGGCTATAAAATTACACAGAAATGTAGAATATTAAATTTCCTATCCGTTGGTAGAAATATAAGTGCAACTACCTGGGCGGTTTGAGAAATAGACCTTGCTAAATGTTGTCCAAATTTTCGTTATGCGTTAAAAAGCAGTAAATTTCTCCGCTTTTTATCGGCGATCGATAAAAGCACTGTGCTCTTAATTTTTAATGGGGCATCTTTACGGAAAGTGTGAGCTTAAGAAAATACAGCCTGATATCTGAGCGACATAAGTGTATATGAATTGGGTTTATGTGCTTGTGCATAACGTTATACGCTCAACATTAAGAATGACTCGCAATAAATGTCAAAAATGTATTTTCTTCTGTGACGTCAAACGACGACAGAGAGGTCATACAGGTATAATGATAAGGGGTCATAACTCCGTTATGCGTAACACTAGGTCAATGTAACTCTGATCACTTGGAGAGAATTTGTTGTGGATACGGACGCTATATTTTCGTTATTTTATGTTCATGGTGAACGACACTATTCCAATTCAAAGTTCCCCAATGTGAACGGATGCGCTTTGGTTGTTTCACAATTTATAAGAAAAGATGACAACGTATTACATGTGAAAGCACGTAATAGCGATTTGAATGGCCCTATCCGCTATATAAGTTAGTTCTTAGATTCCCATATTCTCCTGTTTGTGTAGATGTAATTTGACTAATTTTGCATCGTTATTAACAGAGTACTAGCCATATCTTCAAATGTAACGAAATTGCTGAAAATAATACAACATTTTAGTTGACGTCATCGCTTGTTTTATGCATTTTGCGACGTCAGAAAAAGACGACATTGGTATGCTGATTAGTATATATCTCACTTAATTTCCATTAATTGTATCAAAGGTCTAGACTTCTATGTCAGAATTTAACACTCTTTAGACAAAACATAAAATTTTTCCATTTAAATAGTGTCCTGAATATATCAACAATTAGACAGTTTGACAGCGTATCTTATTGTGAAAAACACGCGCACCTGTTTGGTATCAATTTAACGTAAATAAAAATAATATTTCCCAACACCCGAATATTTTGTTTGGGATAAGAATTTTGTTTGTTTATGATTATGAAGCTATTTCTCTTCATATGTATGCAATGAAAGATGCATAAGGATAGCTTTTTATACATGGAACTATATATTAGAATATGGATGTAAGATTTGTCCGAAATAACACATGAGATGGTATATATATGTTTCAACAATTTTCCTATAAGTAGTTAGAGTTTGATATCCTGTCATCACAATATTATTTAATCGAATATGAATTGAATATATTATCGAAAACAATGATAGAGAATCATAAAACGCTTTCAACAAACGCCAAGACCTTGCCGATCTATATGCATCATTCTTTGTCTATAAAGCGACACAAAATTATGCAATGAACAAGACAATTCCTTTAAATATGTGTGCATATATATTTCATACCATATATAAATCATTGTCATTAATATTATCAGTTTTGCATATAAGGTTGAATTATATCACCGTTCATTAACCTGTTCATATGAAATTGCAATATTAGTCCAAATAAATTGAATATTGTACATCATAGGAACTAAAGTAGATGCAGTTATGGCTACGTTTGATCTTCTAACACTTGTGTAAAGGTTTAGAATATGGTGTATTGCAATAAATATGTCAATTTCTTATGTAAATATGATTCAAACAATCAAAAACTTTCAAAGAATAAAACACCAGAAACCCCCATATGCGTATGATATGATATTGAACAAGGCTAAATGTAGATACTGAAGTCAGTTTCATGAAAAGCATCCGAACTATCCGCAAAATATACATCATAATACTGACAGTGTAATCGGAAGGATATGGCGATTGTGTTTACTCTTGTTCGACCGACTTTCACCTCAAAGAAATTGCCTAATATGTAGAACAATGACGACGATGACATCACTACCGCTGACCGATTTCTTACAAAATGGCGGCTTTGCTGACAAGGGTACACAGGATTTTTGCGAGGACCCTTCCACTGATTCAGGGATCGTTTGTACATAAATATGACATGTAAGTAATCAGAATGATTCTGACTATCTGTGTATTGTTATATGTGTTTTATCGCTTTCACTATAACGTAAGAGAAAAGGACAGAAATGCAGATAATTACCGTGAGTCGTTCTATGCGTGATTTGGCGTCAGTCATGGCCACGCTGCACGGAAACTTTGACAATTTCTTATGAATTATCAAATCATTGCATTGTATCTATTTATAATTTCCTATTTCTTGCTACGATATTCTTTCCATGTATATTCTAAAGGTATCGAGCCATTGCAAGCAATGAATAGACGGATGAATGTTGAAAATTTTCAGAAAATACTACGCAATGTAAAATCGGAATTTGTCTTTGTTTACATTTCACACGAACGCAGTCTTTCAATCACAGCGTTCGTTTTCACACCCAATATGTTTCGTCTCATTTTATCTAGACAGTTATTATTGGTGACACAGACCAGTTTCAAATTGATTCTAAAATGTATGGGGAATTCAGTGATGCATTTTTCGAAGCTGAATATGAAATATACGTGATGTAATAGGTCTTAATACCGGCCTTCGCGCTAAACGTGATTTTGTAAACACTATCCAATAATATGGAAAGCGGCTCTACAGTGTTCGTAAGTGCATTTTCGAAAACATCCCAACCGATTCTAGATTCATCGGCAACGCTTCAGAATTATAATTAGCGATTTCATGTAAAACTGATATCAGTGATCATGAATAGGTTATTTTTTAAATTCAGTACTCCCAGGAATTATCCGATTTTCACATTTCAAAACATACAGTAAATAACGCTGTGAATCGCGATTTCATACTGTGTCAAAAATGTCGCCATTTTCGATGAAGCCTATTTTAAAAGGTCATTTTCAGCACTTGAGCTTTGTCTAAAATAATACTGGATGGTATCAAGAAACAGGAAATTTCCCGCAGAATTCGAAACTGTGAAGTGTATTTGTGTGCGTGGGATATTTTGATTTTTATTGGACTTGAAATTGAGGGTTGAAGGGGAAGGACATATATGTCCCTATGGCATCCAGGGGGTTAAATAAGGACTTTCTTGCATCTGAATATTTAGTGCAACACATGAAATGGTGTTGTTCATCCTCAAGGACAGAGCATTTATCACACAGACGGTCCTCCAAAGGTGTAGGTGGTCTTGTTCTCCTACCCAGTTCAATGTTTAGTCTGTGATCACTCAGTCTTAGTTTTGTGAAGTGGATACGGTGTTTTTTTATTTTGCAGTGTTGCAGGTATGGTTCAAAGTTGATTTCAGATTTAAATTTTCTATATGTTCTAAGTTTGTTCCTTGAATTTAATGTGTTTGGATTATCTTGAAGAGATGAGTGGAACATGTCTGTAAATTTCAATTGGAGGTCCTTCAGTATAGAGGAGGAAGTAAGATTACTTTCCTTGATGTCAAACTTATCTAAGAGGCAACTGAGTTTATAGTACCATCCAATTTTGTGTTTGGCAATCTTTATTGATTCATTAAAGGCATGTTTTAAAATGGTATTTGGAGACGTTTTGAGACCATTCCAGGTCCCTTCATCAGGTGAACTGGCAGTTAGGACTATGACGTCATCACTATGACGTCATAACTGAGTTATGACGTCACAATGCAAGTGACATCACAGTACACTAGGGAGAGTACTGTATAAGTGAGTTTGAAGAGTTAATTACATAATGATGAGTTGAAAGTTGAATTGTCAATACACATAGTGACGACGTCATAGTCCTAACTGCCAGTTCACCTGATGAAGGGACCTGGAATGGTCTCGAAACGTCGTGAGAGAAATTAAAAAGAAGTTTAATCCATAAAAATATCTTGGACATCAATGTACAACTTCTAAATGCCACTGAAAGACATCAAACAATTTGTGATAAATTGAAAAGGAGCCCCAGTGGTATGGGAAATTCAGAACCTTGGGAAATATAGACTTGCTTCATTTAGGGCCTTAGCATTCCAGGGAGGGCTAGACAATGGAAAATAATGCTGAAGGGGTCATTGTCAGCACAGGTACTACAGATATGTACCCCAGGTACGTTTCTGTATACAGACATGTACCCTAAACAAAATCAGAATACAGAAACGTACCCTAGGACGATTCCATTCTGCATTGTGCCGTTTTCTTGATCGAAACTGTCATACTGTTGTATTAGATGCATTTGGTTGCGTTATATAAGAGCTTACACGGAAACGAAAATTTCGTGGTGCACAACGTACACCACTCGCAATCAGCATAACGGGATTAACTATACATACGGTTTCGGAATTGGGTTGCGGAATATGGGCTTGCCCGTCGTTTAGGGTACCGGGTATGTTTCTGTAGTTTGACTTTGTTAGGGTACATGATGTCTGTATACAGAAACGTACTTGGGGTACATATCTGTAGTACCTGTGCCGACAACGACCCCTTCAGCGTAAATAATGTGGTTCAGGGACTGTGAGACGGTCTACGGATACTGTGGATATCAACAATGAAAGAAGAATAAAAGCTGCGAAACTACGCTATGTGTAGTCCTACACAATGACCAAGGGTGGAAATAACCCATTGCCCGACGCCCGAGACTAGTGTTTTTTTCCTGTCGGGAAAGCAAATTTGTATATCACACTGTACCGGTGTCCAGTTGATATTCCAATGTTAGTTATGTTGTTTATTTAAAAAATCAACAAGAAAACGGCCGGTATAGTGGAAAAATTATCAGGGCAAGAGTACACTTGCAATTTTAAAGTTATTTCCACCCCTGATGACTAGAAATGTAACAGTAAGGTGAGGCCATGGTACAATAGGTATCCTAACAAATTGGGTGTGATACGATTCGTATCTCACATATTCTATTTCATTGCCAAATTCAAGGCCTTTTTAAAGAGTTTTATCAAATTGCATAATATTCAAGACAGATGCAAATGTATGGTGTTTTCACCTGCCCCATTTCAAGGCTGTCCAATGACTAGAATGCTAAATTTAAGGCAGAACTGTCCCCTGCAAGGCATTTTCATGGTAAAACTGCCAAATGCAAGGCTGAAATGTCAATTTCCGGGCATTCTTAAGGTAGTACAGGGGACTATGAAATTTTCACAACCATGAAATCCACATCCGGAGACAGCAGTAGACCGACCATCACAGGGAAATAATTCTCAGATACATAGAGATTATTACACAAGCAAGTGTGCCATACGACTTATACGAAACAAGTGGGAAATTTTGTATTGCACGAGCGAGAGCAAAACATAATTTTGCACCAGTTTTGTATGGCACACTTGCGAGTGTAATAATTTCTTTATTATCCATTTTATTCATGTACATTAGTGCAGTAAAACACAGTAAGCAAGTGTGATGGCACTCTTCATCGACGTCACGTTCAATTGTTTAATGACGTCACAGACGACAAAATACAGAAACAATGGTTGCTAGGCAAAAGTGATATGTGCACATGTTCGCATATGATATATATGACACTGGTTGTGTTTCACCATAAGGGTAAAAAATTATATTATGTATTAGTTTCCGATAAAAATCATTACTTAACATGTTTTGCTTAATATAGGTTGGGGGCAAATCACTGGCAATTAGGGAATTCTCAAGGTTAAAACAAATTTAGGGCCTTTTTAAGGTAAAATGTCCTTGAACCCAGTTATAAATGTAATTTACTGTATTACAAAACATGTCCAGAAAGTTAGGTAAGACATAAATATTCTCAACCCAGTGTCGAGAAATAATATTTAATCTAGAAGCAGATATACAAATGACTTCATCTCAACAGAAACAATCAAGAAGATATAATTTGGGCCATGATTTCTGCATTGCTGTAAACAACAGATTACAAGTATACACTTTGATAACAATCGGACACAGAGGAAAACATCCAACTGAAAACTCTGGTAAAGTCCATAACAAAGTCTTTACATAAACCTAGATATATCCAGCCCTGGATGACAAACATATGGCACTTCGGCTAAAGAAACTTAATTCCGGTAAGTAACCTGAAATTGATCATGTTGGTTTTGATAAAACACTGGAATGTGATACAGATGAATTCCGGAGCCCTGGTGAACAGGTGCACGACTGAACCTCCTCACTACCATGTTAATCCGCCTGGCACTATTCTTCACACTGCTGTAATTTGTATGTGGGGCGACCTGTGACCTCAATGGAGTTGGGCAAGAGAAGTCTATTACATGTGACAATAGGAGAGAAGTTTGTCCTCACGCTGAGAAGCTGTGTTGGAGATATTCAGCCAGGGGACTTGAGAAGTCGATACTGCACCAGTACTTCCTAATACTACAACAACAGAACATGCTCTGGAGCATCTACAGGGTCCAACAAGGGTGGACAGATTTAACAGGGTGATAGTGGCAAGGTAGCCATAAAGTAATAGTCTCATGATAGCTGTATCAGGAATAGTAGTCTAGTAGCTATAAAGCAATAGTCGCATAATAGCTGTATCAGGAATAGTAGTCCAGTAGCCATAAAGTAATAGTCTCATGATAGCTGTATTAGGAATAGTAGTCAAGTAGCTATAAAGTAATAGTCGCATAATAGGTGTATCAGGAATAGCAGCCTAGTAGCCATAAATTAATGGTTGTTTCAGTAATAGTAGTCTAGTAGCCATAAAGTAATCTTTGCATCATAGCTGTATCAGGAATAGTAGTCTAGTAGCCATACAGTAATAGCTGTATCAGTAATAGTAGTCCAGTAGCCATAAAGTAATCTTTGCATCATAGCTGTATCAGGAATAGTAGCCTAGTAGCCATACAGTAATAGCTGTATCAGTAATAGCTGTATCAGTAATAGTAGTCCAGTAGCCATAAAGTAATCTTTGCATCATAGCTGTATCAGTAATAGTAGTCTAGTAGCCATACAGTAATAGTAGTCAAGTAGCTATAAAGTAATAGCAGCCTAGTAGCCATAAAGTAATAGTTGTATCAATAATAGTAGTCCAGTAGCCATAAAGTAATAGTCTCATGATAGCTGTATTAGGAATAGTAGTCAAGTAGCTATAAAGTAATAGTAGTCGCATAATAGGTGTATCAGGAATAGCAGCCTAGTAGCCATAAATTAATGGTTGTTTCAGTAATAGTAGTCTAGTAGCCATAAAGTAATCTTTGCATCATAGCTGTATCAGGAATAGTAGTCTAGTAGCCATACAGTAATAGCTGTATCAGTAATAGTAGTCTAGTAGCCATAAAGTAATCTTTGCATCATAGCTGTATCAGGAATAGTAGCCTAGTAGCCATAAAGTAATAGTTGTATCAATAATAGTAGTCCAGTAGCCATAAAGTAATAGTCTCATGATAGCTGTATTAGGAATAGTAGTCAAGTAGCTATAAAGTAATAGTCGCATAATAGCTGTATCAGGAATAGTAGCCTAGTAGCCACAAAGTGATACTTATATCATTGCTGCATCAGTAGCATTGCTGTCACAAGAGTGTAGTAGCCAGTAGACTGAAAGTATTTTAGTAAAAATAATAATAGTAGTTGCATTATAGTCACACCAATAAAAGAGCGGTAGCAGCCATAACAGTACAAGAAGCATGATAGCCATAACAGAGATAGTAGCCATGAGGCTGATAGTATTATAGTAGCCATAATAGTAGTAGTAGCTTTATAGTGAGTGAGTGAGTGAGTTAATATTTAACGTCACATTGGCAATAAGTAGCTTAATAGACACACCAATAACAGAGGTGAAGTAGCCCTAACAGTAGGTTAGTAGCCATGACACTTACAGGGACCAACACTTATAGTAGTGTAGTAGTGGTAATAGTAATGGTAGCAGAGTGGCCTCAATAGTAATAATAGTTTAGTAGCCATAACAGTAGCTGAGCCGCAGTATTGCAGTGGTATCAGAAACAGTTGTAGTAGCAGTAGCATCCGAAACTAAACACACACACCCCATAGTGGGAGGCCGTTGATGGACAGGGAGGTCTTTCTCTCAACAGTGTAAGGGCGTGAAGTTTAACACTGTCACATCCAACCAGGTGTGTAGGAGCCGGAAACTCCCCCACCCTCACAGGGCCTCACAACAACATGGTGATCTAAGTCGACTCACACACTGTGAGGGAAGCGTTACTTATGCTCATTTCAATGATGTCTCGACAACACGATGAATTTACTCCGCAAACATTTCAAACAAAACCCCAAATCTCTTTTCTCCCTTGAGCTCCACACTTCAGACCAGTGCAGGGAGCTCCATGAATACCCCAATGAAATAGGAAACCTGCCATTGAGCCTTGTTCAACAAAATTGCCTGTTCTCCTAAGCAGACACTTTTTCAATAGACGACTGACCTGAGGAAATATATGGGGGACTAACGTGGACAAAATCATGACCGTCTTTCATATGATATGGACGCATGCTATACAATAATACACCGCGGTGGCGGCAATGAAAAGACGTATTGCTCGTATTCTGAAGGAAGGTGTCAAAAAGTACGCGTCTGATCTGAGGTTATATTGACAAGGGGGTGAAGATTGGCGATTGATTCAGTTTTCAATGACAACCTAGGAGTCAATCAAGCACAACATAATTGTCAAGCTACAACCCTTGTCATTGTTGGCTGGGCTTGTACAGATCTGTAACCTGTTCCTCTCTAAAGATTCTTAGAAGGAAAGTGTGAAAAATATGAGAAGACGAAATGGTCCTAGCCAACAGACTCTAAACATAATCACCTTTAGTACATTAGATGCGACCCGGTCATTGTACCTGTTTGTTTGCATATTCATAAACTCTGGACAAAATAGCTCATGGAGCGATTTAGCTTGATCTGCTTAGAGCCCAATATTCTGCCTGAAATCTATAGCAAATGTCAGTAAAAATTCCCAAACAGGAATTTCAAAAATTCCTACAAACGTTCAATATATTTCAAACTTGTGAGTGATGTTTTACAGTACTCTTAGCAATATTCCAGCAATATCACGGCAGGGGACACAAAAAATGGGCTTCATACATTGTACCCATGTGGGGAATCGAACCCAGGTCTTCAACGTGACGAACGGACGCTTTAACCATAAGGCTAACCAACCACCCCAAAACTATGTAATGGTTTGGCCGAAGGGACCTGTATTCCACTGACTAACACAAAAACTTCGGTTATCTCCCAATTGACAGACACCCAGCTGACAGAAACCCAATTGACAGACACCCATTTGACAGACACCCAAATGACAGACATCCAGCTGACAGACACCCAGCTGACAGACACCCAATTGACAGACACCCATTTGACAGACACCCAATTGACAGACACTGAACTAGAAGGTTAATTAGGGTAACACCTACGGGTATATTGGAACAGTCCACTGTCTAGTCAGTAGAGCAGGGTGAGCCTGAAACAGGTTCGTTACAGAGAAGTTTGATTGTGGGTAAATAGAACTTTGTTGTGATTAAATGATAAATGATTTCTCTTCTCAAAATTGATTTTACTATCAAGTACTACCGAATATAAAAACAGGTTTGTCACTGAGAGGTTTGATTGTGTTTATTGATAGAAAAGCCCCCTCCCAATAATAGCATATGTACAACAGAAGTTAACTGAGAAAACGTTTTGTTGGAGAGATATAGATATGTACATATTTGAAAACATTCTGATTTGCAGTAAATGAGACACCTGCATTGCCATGTAAGATACGATTAATACCAATCAGTGTTCTAATTTTAACAATACTTTCTAAAGATTGTAACAGTTTATGTCTTTGAGTAGTATACAATGAACATTCAAGGAAGTAATGAAAAACATTCTCCAATCCAAGGCCACATTGACATGATGCGTCATATTTTAAATATTTATTCTAAAAAAATAGTGCACTCGTCATATATCTTAATACTGTGTGCAAAACATATAACTTCTTTATTCCATATGATTAATACTTAGGTTCACATTTGCATTTATTTGATTTATATGATACAACAGTGTTGCAATTTCTAATAGCTAAGCTAATGTTTTCAATATGATGATGCCGACCATCTTTCAAAATAAAATAGACCGCCTCCGTGGTGTAGTGGTTAGAACGTCCGCCCAGAGAGCGGAATGTCGCAGGTTCGATCCCCGACAGCGTCATGCCAAAAGACGTTAAAATATGGTACTTGTTGGTCCCTGCCTGGCGCTCGGCATTAATGGGTACAACAAGGACTGGTCGGCTCGGAGTCAGTATAATGTGTCTGAGTGGGGTATCCATGCTTCACTGCGGCATGGTATCTCAGTGGGCTAGCACTATAAAACCAGCTTAAGTCTGGGCTAGTACAAGCAGCCGCACATACACACACACACACATGCAGCGTGTATGAGCGAAATATTCTCAAGCACGACGTTAAATCCAATTTCACCTCACCTCACCTCAAAATAAATAATATAGCTTCAGTTTGTTTTACTTGGATTATTCGATTATAATGTGTAGGTAACAGCTAGTAGATAATCTGTTCATTGAACCGTAAATGTTGTTGTTTTAAGGTGTCTGCGAACTGGCTGCCTGCGTAATGGGAGGACACCTCAATTCTACATCTTTGAACTGAAGGCTGTCAAAACACCTCTGAAAGATTCAATTATTCACAGATGCCATACAGCTAGAATTTTGCTGAGTGCAGTGTTAAACAAAAAAAACAAAAAAATACTGCTAGACAATAAAAGACAAGCTGCACATCTTACACATAAAATACACAAACCAAATCACCCCATTATCCAATAAACATATATAGTTTACAATAACTTCATAATGTAACGTTAAAATTCACATGACTCACTTGGCACAACACATAGATAGATGCTAATTATAAAGCAGGATTAGAAATACTTTTTTTTCTAAGTGTGCCTTAGGGCACCAGACAAATATTTTATTTTTTTATTTTTCAGAAATCAAGTGTGCCCACATGTTTTTAGAATAATGACAATGACGATGATCATTTGAAATTTATTGTTAAATAAAGAAATGGGTTTATTACCATTCAATTATGTATGACATTATTCAATTTGGAAAAAAATGAATGTTTTGGGGATTAATTGACTAAATGTGAATTGTGTATCTAAAAAATTAGGAGTGTTATAAGGGCACCAAAATTTTTTTTTATCCGTGCCATTTCAGTATTTACCGTGCAATGGCACGCTAATATATGGGGTATTTCGAACCCCGTAAAGGCTTGCTATCAATGCAGAGCTTAGTGATCGATAATCGTTAAATTGAATTTTGATTGAATATAGATAAATATCGGAAAAGTAACTTTGAGCAAAAATGAAAAAAGAAAGAAATGAACATATTTCACACCACCGGGTGAGTGGTGTCATGTTTATGCATGAGTACTAACATAACAGCATCCTGAACACAATTTAGAAGCAGCCCATGATTAAAAACCTAACTTGTGTATTGTGTGAATACATTCAAACTGTATTCCATCACAAAAGTTCATGTACGATATATTATCAATAACACAATTTGTTACCTACGAGGGTGAAAATATTAGGCTTCATATTTTTCATAGGATGCCCTAGGGCAAAATATCACTTTGTCATGGTGACATGACGTCATGAACAATGCTATGACGTCACGTGTCTTCTGTGACGTTGCGTCTACATACGGAGACGGCAGGTAGCCAGCCTGTGTTTGAAAGTAGATTTGGGTTATTTTTCTCAATTTGACAATTTCGGTAATAAATAGAACAGTATATATTCATGCACTCACATAACAATCTCTATTTTCATATCGATAATCAGTAATAATTTATCCTATCAACGATAATTCTGATTATGGATCTTTTAGCCAGCCTTACTAATTATAGTGGGCAAGTGAGTTAAGATTTTAAGTTGGCAATATTTCCGCCATATTGTGACCCTACTAATTATAAGTTTCCTTGAAAACAGAAGAGGATTTATTAAAAAAAATCTTTTCATCATGTTACAAACCCCATAGTCTAGTATAACAGGAGAATAACAGGGCTGGCTGTCGATACAGGTCTTAGAGATCGATAGAGGTTAATTAAATATCAATCAATTATTGTTAAATATCTGAAAAGTAACTTTGATAAAAATGAAAATGAAAAAAAAAAAACACAGAAGAGAAAATATTTTCAAAAATATATTTTCATTGGCTTACAAACAACAAAGAGGGTATAACAGGAGAATAAATATGTAGAATGCTCAAAGAAAACTAGGAATACTCACATAACAGATAACATGTGAGTAAACACTCAATTGGGCAAAAAATCACCTGAAGCCCTGTTACAACAAAGTTTCAGGTAAACCGCAGTGCCACCTCCGGACCCTACGACCCATTGCCCTATATCCATGTATACATACACAGCTCTCAGACACGCCATCTAATAACTTCCTTCAAACATACGAATAAGAAGAGAGTAAAATAAACTTCCGCAGCTGGGTCCAAACATGACACTTAACGGAATTGCTCCCAATGACACAGAATCCTCCGAAATACCCAAACCGGCTTTCGCAGGTTGGGTTGATAAGCTGTGAGATTCCTTCCAACATATGCATAAAATATTTCAAATCGCCAAGCCCCGTTGGCGCTTCTCCAAACTCTCGTGTTTCATTGTATAAAGTTTTGGGAATCCGAGTTTATTTTGACATTGTGGAAAATGCAGTTCATGAGGAAATATGATTTCTTGAGAGCTTTCATGGAAAAAAAGTCACATGTTAGCAACAGAATAGGAATGTTGACATGTAAATAGGGCTGAACGCTGTTTCATTTCCCCTGAGCTTTGGATTTCTCGCTGTACCTTTGCACTGCAAGCAATACTTGAAAACTAGTTGCTATTGACAACCACTGACAATATCTTACAATATAGTATTTTTTTAAAAACTGATTTTGTTATTGATCGCAGAGGTTTTTTTATTTTTAGGAATTTCAATGAAAACTTGTTTGCTTCAAATATATGTTTCATTTTTCTGAAAGTATTTTCAGCGGAATTTAAAAAAAGAATTTGAGCATTAAATGTAATTCTATGCTATTTCTAACTACGGTTCAACAGAAGATTCACCTTTCTGATCACTCACTGTTTGACAAAAGCTGGAAAATCTTATACAACTACCTCATAATTGACTTCTATTTACTGAGAAGACAGAAAGGCATTCTGATAAAATTTCAGTTCAGTATGTAGGTACACTTGTAAAAACAATGGTTGGGTTGAGTTTTTTGCATCAATGAAACTGTTAAAGGGGAACACTTTTCATGGACAGACAACAGTTACATCTTCATCGCAATAGATGTGACCTTTCGGTGTAGATGCTAACACCGTTCTCAAACAAGTGAGTAAGTTCGGTTTTATGCCGCTTTTAGCAATATTCCAGCAATATCATGGCGGGGACACCAGAAATGGGCTTAACACATTGTACCCATGTGGGGAATCGGCGTGACGAGCAAACGCTTTAACCACTAGGCTACCCCACCTCCCCTCATTATCAAACAAGTGAACCACAATATAATGAACAATATAACAATGAAACTATATACATAAGTATTTGAGATTATACAATTGAACAGGTTGAGTTTTTTAATAGGTTGAACATGTTGATATAATACTGATAGTTGTGATCATAAATAATGACTATGAATGAGTGAGTGAGTGAGTTTAGTTTTACGCTGCACTCAGCAATATTCCAGCTCTATTGAGGCGGTCTGTAAATAATTGAGTCTGGACCACACAATCCAGTGATCAACATCATGAGCATCGATCTGTACAATTGGGAACCGATGACGTGTCAACCAAGCCAGTGAGCCTGACCACCCGATCCCATTAGTCGCCTCTTACGACAAGCATGGGTTACTGAAGGTTCATTCTAACCCGGACAGGTCAATGACTATGAAGATGGACAAAGGATAAGGAAGGTTATTATTGTCTAGCCTTGATTAGATGATGGTAAGCTGTAGAGATGCAATAACCATGTTCCTCTTCATCATACCAGCTTCTAAATGCTAGTGGTGTTCCGATTAATTAAAATAATAAAGATTGGTCGCAGTGACCAAACGACCAAACCATTGATCACATTTGCTCATGATCGAACACAAAAGATCTTGGAACTACTGTTTTAGTGTTTGAAACACTTGACAATGGAACATATCTTAGAAACTGTCCCGGCCTGGAAACATGTTTAATTCTTAGAAAACTCACTTCACTTACTGACAAGTCATAACTGAATATTTCTTAAGGACTCCAGGAAGTTTATATTTGTGATATATTAGTCATCATTTTAAAGTAGCAAGTTGAATCATTTTACATTGGATGTGAATTGTGCAAATGTAATTAATGCAGTTTCTAAATATAACAAAACAAGAGAGAACCATGTTATACTTATCTGCAATAACAACTTGATTAGGAAATCTGAAAAATGACGGTAACCAATTTGTTTCGATGATTGCTCATTGGTAAGGAGCCAATTATCAATTGTGTGATTTCAACCAATTCCAAACACTACTAAATGCCACTTAAAGTATTCCTGAAGTATCAATTGGATTTTAAAAAGTGCATATGTCCTGGCAATGTTTGGTTGGGTTTTTTGTTTAACACCGCACTCAGCAATATTCCAGCTATATGGCAGCGGTCTGTTAATAATCAAGTCTGGACCAGACAATCCAGTGATCAACAGTATGAGCATCGATCTGCGCAATTGGGATTTGGTGTCTTTACTACTCGTTGGTTGGTTGGTTCGTTTTATGCCGCTCTCAGCAATATTCCAGCTATATGGCAGCAATCTGTTAATAATCAAGTCTGGACCAGACAATCCAGTGATCAACAGTATGAGCATCGATCTGCGCAATTGGGATACGGTGTCTTTACTACTCGTTGGTTGGTTGGTTGGTTTTATGCCGCTCTCAGCAATATTCCAGCTATATGGCAGCGGTCTGTTAATAATCAAGTCTGGACCAGACAATCCAGTGATCAACAGTATGAGCTGATCGATCTGCGCAATTGGGATATGGTGTCTTTACTACTCGTTGGTTGGTTGGTTCGTTTTATGCCGCTCTCAGCAATATTCCAGCTATATGGCAGCGGTCTGTTAATAATCAAGTCTGGACCAGACAATCCAGTGATCAACAGTATGAGCATCGATCTGCGCAATTGGGATACGGTGTCTTTACTACAGCTTTCGTTGGTTGGTTGGTTGGTTAATTTTATGCCGCTCTCAGCAATATTCCAGCTATATGGCAGCAATCTGTTAATAATCAAGTCTGGACCAGACAATCCAGTGATCAACAGTATGAGCATCGATCTGCGCAATTGGGATACGGTGTCTTTACTACTCGTTGGTTGGTTGGTTGGTTTTATGCCGCTCTCAGCAATATTCCAGCTATATGGCAGCAATCTGTTAATAATCAAGTCTGGTCCAGACAATCCAGTGATCAACAGTATGAGCATCAAATGCAGTTTGCCTTGATAATTTATGATGGTCTTAAACGTCAATAAAGAAATTGAACTGATACATTTTGTACTTAATGATTGCAATTATATTGGACATGAAATACCATTCACAGTCAGCTAACTTTCATCAAGTAGAATCTACATCAAACATAACACTTGCTATAAACTTTAGAAAACCATCAGAGACTCATGTTGACTGAAGCTGCATGTATATTTATGTTAAATGTCAAAATGACATGTGGATGAGATTGTTTTGTTTGTAAGGAAGTAAGATAATTAAAACAAAACATGATTTTTCTACATCCTCCCCAGTTACATTTTTCACATAACTTCAAAAAAGTTCAACACATGAAATTTGTGTCTTCACTGATATCTTTTATCTCTCTGGTCATTTACTAATGTTTTTTTGACACAGATTTTCTGATGGCTTTTTTACAACCATGTATTTGTTTGTCAAACAAGTTATTATGACTGAAGTATATTTCACAAAGATCTTTTCCACATTTCTTTGTAAAATAAGACCATCATCAACCAGTGTTCACGAATAGCGTCTGACCCCCTGACAAATCCAACAGATTCGCCAACGGTCAGACAGAAGTCTACAACCCGCCGGCCCCAGTGTCTGACTGTATATTTCACAATGACTTTGACTGAAGTTGTTTTATGTGACATGTGACACTTGTTTGCTGTTTATAAATCTTACGTTTGTTAATAATTTCAATGCCAATTATAAGAAATATTAAATCTGAAATGTGTGTTTAATTTTATTCCATGGGTCCTGTGAATTTTTAATGGGGCAGACAGACATGTGAAACTTACAAGACCCAATGTCCTGTGACTTTGAACACCATTCGTAAACACTGATCAACATTATTAATTTTCCAATACCTATATAATACCAATAGCCAGACTTAGCACCAAGGCATTTATGACACCTTTCCTGATTTGTATACATATGATTATACTTCCATCAGCTTCTACAGCAGGAATAGGGTAGTAGTGATTTTAGTCAAAGTGTTTAGCCTTTCCAAAAGAGAAAGAACAAACAATTTTAAGTTTCCAAATTTTGCAGAAGGAAATAATTACTGCTTGAATGAATGTGTATAAACATGTACTATCAAGTTTCACCCCCAGTATTCAAGCATTCAACAATTCAAGTTTCACCCCCAGTATTCAAGTATCACACCGAGTTTTCAAACATTCAAGTTTCACATCCAGTATTTAAGCATTCAAGTTTCACATCTACTATTCAAGCTTTACAAGCAGTATTCAAGTTTCAAACCCAGTATTCAAGTACTGAAGCTTCTTGTCCAGTATGCAAGTTATATCAAAGAGTATCAAAGTGGGAGGAAGAGCCCACGTTTTAAACTCTCTTAGTCTACCATGTTTATGGTGAAACTGACACATCAGGGTTTCAGGTGATAAGAAACATAATTGGGCAAACCAGGAACTGAACCCACGACCAAAAGTTTTTGACGCACCCAAGGGACACAACACTACACAGCCAATAGCAGCACCAAAGATGACGAGGCCACCTGTGCCCAAATTATCACAGTGAAGGATGCAATTTGGACCAAGATGATTGGTCCAGGTCATGTCAGAAGCTTCTGAGGTCAATTTCAGTCTGCCTCATAGTCCCTGAGCCATGCTGGTCCTTCCACAAAGCCGTGGTACATCAAGCAAGTCTAGGAAAACTAAGGATCAGGTTTCTTGTTCCCACTTCTCAACCCCATTATTTCCCCCTTCCACCAAGCTCTTCAGAGGTGGAAATAACCCATTGCCCGATGTCCCAGTCCAGTGTTCTTTTCTGTCGGGCGAGCAAATTTGTATATCACACTGTACTGCTGTCCAGTTGACTTTCCAATGTTAATTATGTTGTTTATTTAAAAAATCAACAAGAAAATCAGCTGGTATAGTGGAAGAATTATCAGGGCAAGTGATTTTACATGTGCCATTGTACCGGGAGTACACTAGCATTTTAAAAGTTATTTCCACCCCTGCTCTTTCTGCCCTGCTAAAACCCTAAATGTAGCAAGTCTAGATTTCCTCAGCTTCTGAATCTCCCATCTCACTGGGGCTACTTTTCAACTTAAAGGGAATTGTTCAAAATTATATGACCGCCTCCGTGGTGTACTGGTTAGAGCGTCCGCCCGGAGAGCGGAAGGTCACGGGTTCGATCCCCGACCGTGTCATACCAAAAGACGTTAAAATATGGTACTTGTTGGCCCCTGTCTGGCGCTCGGCATTAATGGGTACAACAAGGACTGGTCGGCTCGGAATCAGTTTAATGTAACTGAGTGGGGTATTCATGCTTTACTGCGGCATGGTATCTCAGTGGGCTAGCACTATAAAACCAGCTTCAGTCTGGGCTAGTACAAGCAGCCACACATACACATACACACGCATGCACGTCGTCATATGAACGAAATATTCTCAAGCACGATGTTAAACCCTATTTCAGCTCAGCAGCTCAGATCAAAATTATATATATTCAGAGACTAGCATTAGTCCATGGGCTCCTTTTCAATTTAAATGGAGGCATTTGCTTCTACAGAAATGATGTATTTTCTGACACTTAAGGAGTAATTTTCTATGTCAATTTATTCTTCATAAAATACTCTAAATCTATTAATTGGCGCAACATGTGCGATGTCTATGAACTATCCTGATTTCACAAAACAAAAACCCGAGAAGATCCAAGTTAGAATTGGTCTTCAATCTGGCAACCCATGCTTGTCGTAAAAGGCAACTAACTGGATCGGGTGGTCAGACTTAGTGGTGTTCAGATTAATTGAAATAATCGAAGATTGGTTGCAGTGACCAAACGACCAAACAAAAATATCTATCAAATTTTCTCATAATCGAACATAAATGGTTTTGGAACTACTGTTTTAGTCTTTGAAATACTTGACAATGGAACATATCTCAGAAGTTGTCAGGGCCTGAAAACATGTTTATTTCTTAGAAAATTCACTTCACTAACTGAAAAGTCATGACTGAATATTTCTCTAAGACTCCAGGAATTTTATGTTCAAAATATATTAGTCATCACTTTAAAGTAGCAAGTTGCATCATGTTATACATATCTGCAATAACAACCTGGATAGGAAAATCTGAAAAATGACGCTAAACAATTTTTTTCGATGATTGTTTCGTTGGTATTGAAGGAATCATCAATTGTGAAATTTCAACAAATTCCCAACACTAGTCAGACTCGCTAATTTGGTTGACAAATGCTATTGCATCCCAGTTGTGTAGATCGATGCTCATGCCGTTGATCACTGGATTATGTGTCTGACTCAATTATTTCCATGTAGCTGGAATGTATACTGAGTATGGTGTTAGTGAGTGAGTTTAGTTTTACGCGGCACTCAGCAATATTCCAGCTATATGGCGGTGGTCTGTAAATAATCGAGTCTGTACCAGTCAATCCAGTGGTCAACAGCATGAGCATCGATCTGCACAATTGGGATACGATGACATGTGTCAACCAAGTCAGCGAGCCTGACCACCCGATCCCGTTAGTCGCCTCTTACGACAAGCATGGGTTACTGAAGACCAATTCTAACCCGGATCTTCATCCGTAGAGTGTGGTGTTAAACAACAAACCAATAATAAAACAAAAATAGATCTGAGAGTTGACAACAAAATCAGTTCAAAGTAAAAAGCCAAACGTTCTAAATTTACAAAAACAACTGATTTTGCAACAGAATACTTGATATTCATTAGCTATTACCATTTTCAAAATAATATACTGACTTCTTTGAGATTCTGAATTCATAATAAATAAAATTTCTATAGTGCTAATTATTCTGCAATTCGGACTGTTTATTATCACGTCTTATCATCATTGGTCACAACAAGAAACAAACATGGCAAGCCCCAAGAAAGGAAATACTTCATAAAAATTTCATCAAATTTCTCAAACAAACACCCATATCAAACCTGTCACACAAACACAATAAGCCGCTTAATATGTTCCACTTCAAATCTGAAATTCCCCCCACATTAAAACCTCCAGTGAAATCTGATCGTACTCGCCCCACCTTTGCCCTAACCGAAAATATTTGAGAAGACATTACACTAATCTATGATGCCTGCTACGCAAGCACTAACATCCAAATGATGGTATTTATAGCCGGCTTGGAACCATCAGCTGAAAATAAACCACGCTAGAGTATTTCCCCTTGACAACTAGCTCTCCTGGATTTCCATGGCCTCGGTAAGGAGGAGAATGAGATGGGAGATAGCGCCCAACAATGGTCGACTGTGCTTCTCATTCTCATGGTCTGTTCATTTTGCAGATGCTAAACCCATGGACTACACACTCCATACAAAATCCTCCTCCTCCTCGTACTCTGGGGGGACATATCAAACTTTTTTTTTCCTTTTCTGGGTTCAGGTATCCTTGAGTTAATTCCCCACCCAAGTCAGCCAGCTTGTAAACAAACCTGATCTGTTAGGTCGGTGTGGAGTGGCTCCCCTCAAAACAAAGCATGTCATGAGCAGCGTTTGGTTAAGGTGCCAGGGTATCACAGTGTGGGTTTGTTTTTACCTACTTACGGAAGGATGGTTTGTCTTGAATGCTCAACAGATTGTGGTGACCGAGGGAGACAGAGCTGATTACAGTAGATGGCTTCAAGTTGATCCAGTCATGATCCATCACAACATTGTCCCATCAGTAACCCAGTACTTGTTACAACACACTAATCACCCACTACTTGTTACAACACACTAATCACCCAGGACTTGATACAACATACTAATCACCCAGTACTTGATACAACACACTAATCACCCAGGACTTGTTACAACACACTAATCACCCAGTACTTGATACAACACACTAATCACCCAGTACAACACACTAATCACCCAGTACAACACACTAATCACCAAGGACTTGTTACAACACACTAATCACCCAGTACTTGTTACAACACACTAATCACCCAGTACAACACACTAATCACCCAGTACTTGTTACAACACACTAATCACTCAGTACTTGATACAACACACTAATCACCCAGTACAACACACTAATCACCCAGTACTTGTTACAACACACTAATCACTCAGTACTTGATACAACACACTAATCACTCAGTACTTGTTACAACACACTAATCACCCAGTACTTGATACAACACACTAATCACTCAGTACTTCATACAACACACTGATCACCCAGGA